GACATAGGTCGTACAAACTCTGTTCTTGCTAAGAGGCAAGACCCTAAATACACTTGTTACTACTGAAATCTCTGAATTGATAACCATCCAATGCCATTCTACTGTACAACACCAATCCGCTCTTCCTTTAAGAAATAGAAGTGTAGACCTAATTTGTTGGTCCCTTGTACAATATATAGTTCATGCACGTAAACAATACATTCATTCTTCAGGAAATAATGATTATCTCTGGTGTAGTCTACTTAACAATTCACCATCATAAGTGTGAAATCTTGAGTTCCCGGGCTCCCACCCTGGTTTTCTTAGTTACTCAAAAATAATTTACCTCAATACTCTGTCAAAAAACATTTCGAATTTAAAATATTCTTTTCAGTTTTAAATTTTTTTTAAATCTTAATACAGAGCTATATTTATTCTCATCATACTGATTGTGATCAAATTATTTATAGATCCACAAATCTGTATTGCGTTGATTGGGAAATTCTCATCATATTAATTTTGATCAAATTATTTACAGATCCACAAATCTGTATTGCGTTGAATGGGAAACCGGAGCGTTACGATAATTTAACTGACAATGCAGTAAAAAAGTAAGGTCCCGTTTTAATACTTATTAATTTAGAAATGATCAGAATAATTGGTGTGTGTGGAATAGAGTGCTGTGGCTAGCATGTCAATGGTGTTGTGTGATCGGAGGCAGGGGAGGATTTAGGGGGCGGCCCGGCCCAGGCCCTCTCCCCACCCCCCACCCTTTGGGAGGTAAATAAAAAAGGAGGAAAAGGGAAAAATGATATCTCAGAACGCCTCAAATGTTATTTTCGGGCGTCTTAGAACACAAAAATTTCGAGGGGCATGACCCCGGACCCCCTAGGATGGTGTTGTCTCGTCGGCCCAACTTTCGGTCCCCGCTTTTGGACATCTCTGGATCCGCCCCTGGGAGGTGCTTTTGATTATTAAAACACTATTGTATTATTTTACTCAATTTTAAGATTTATTGAGACGATGTAAAAAAATGTAATTTTCTGAAAATAATAAAGATTACCTATATGATTTTAAGAGTTATTTTAATTCACAATAGCTAACGTCTACATGGCGCGTGATGTAACCTTATAATATAAAGTTTTGGTGAACCATGTAGATAATACGAATAACTGAAGTATTATGTAGGCCTTCAGGTTATTTTGAATAAATCCTGTAGAGTAAAAATGCATGTAGGCCTATATAATGCATAACTGCAATATAATAATATATATGTGTATATTTAGTTAAACCATGGATATAGCCTATTCACGTGATACATGTCTTTGGGCTCTTCAGAGGACATTTGGGACTTGGGAATTCATGTTATTTAGCAACTTTGGTCTTTATTTATTTTCTTTTAATTACTTTAAACATAATGTGTTCATTTAGGGTCGCAGAAAACTGAACCTTAATTGGAGGAGGCTTTTAATTGTATGATCTTTAATCGGAACAAGGCATGTGAAAGACGTAGTGTGAAGACTACACAAGATGATTATTTTATAAGACTAGTAATTGGAATCTAATTATTAAATTCTGCTTTCTGGCTTATTAGAAGATTAAAACTAAACCACAATATATTTTAAAAGATATTATTATGTTTTTACATCAGTGGTTTAAATAATAATACGACGAAGGTTAAAGTCGGAACTCTCATATTGGAAGTCTCGAATTATGATAGCAATCGGAACGAAATTTCTGCAGGCATCAACATAGAATTTAAGTACCCAAATTCACAAGTAAGTTTAAAAACCAAAAATATTTTTCATTTATATTCATGTAATATTATCTCACAAGCGCGTGTGTTCAATTAATCTATTCAATCAATGCATGAATAGTTTTTGTTGTCGATACCCAGGTTTCAACTGGCATAGTTAATGATAATGCGAAATCACTGTTATCACAATAATGACATGAAATTTCATGAAATGGGCACGACATAAAACGCATTTGCATAGCCGCATAATTAATAAAAAGTGCATGTTTTTTACCATTCCCTTACAGTTTAACTCATTGCCGAAGTGGCAACCTACATGTGCGTTCTTCAACGAAACACTCAGGTGAGAAAACATGGTCCGTCATGTTGTTTGCGAGATGTAGATTTTTCATGGCCAAATGTGTCGATTAGCAAATTAGCATAAAAAGGCAATATAGTACTATTTGAAACTGCAAGCCTTCCTTGACGTTCACATTTTATCATACCGAAAAGGCTTTTTCGTGTTTTTTTTCTTAACAACACAAAATTTACTATGCAAAAACCATGTGCTACACTGATTATTGTTAAGGTAATAATATAATATTCAAAATAGACTGCTGAAAAAAGTATTTCGTTTATTAAAAATTTCTGATAATATTTTAATGAATAACAAAATATTGAATCAATATGACTATCGGGAACACTTTAAGTCAAAATATTTTGTTTCATTAACGACGTATTTTTATTTAAAGACCTACAGTATCTGACATAAAAATAGTTACATGGGGAAAAAATTAAAAAGCAACGAATGATTTACCACACACGGAAGAAAATTAATCTGATAATTCTGAAAATTAGACGTATACATTGAATAGACTTTTTATAATTTCTCAGTTCAATATCAGCATATTAAAATAATTTTATTCTATGGAGAAAATAGAGTTTAAAGATGCACGCTAAATCATCGTAAATGTTATTGTTTGGATTGTATATAATATATATAATAATGTGATTAATCTCTTACAAATATCCTTCAATTTATGATTTTTTTAAAATAAATATTTATGAAAAAAATATTTTGTATTTTTTATATTTATAATATAAATTGTTTATCAAAAGAATTATATGATAGAATTATACGTATATAATACAGATATATAAATATACCTGATAAAGGCCGATCACTGAAAACGTTCGTTTACTTTATAGGATATTTTAGCAGTACTTAATAAAATATCTTAGCAGCACTAAGCACCTCTCCAGAATGTTTGTTTTATATGATTTTCTATATTAATAATATTTTTGCAGTTATTGGTCAACAACAGGATGCAAGACTAATAGTGCGACATATTTTGTCAAATGCACTTGTGACCATACAACCAGCTACGCGATCCTTTTTCAGACCAGCGAATCTGATAATGATGCGGTATGTAATTGTCAAATAATTGAAATAGCCATACGATATATCTATGCCCTATCTGAGTGAAGAATTTGCTTTTTTTTAAATTTTTTAAATCTTATATTGTAAACACAAATGAAGCAACACAAATGCATAGAACAGACGAAAACTCGCAGAAGCAATCACAAACACATCTAATCATTGGTGCTATATTAAGCAACATCGCCTTCCTGACGTTAGAACTTGCGCACGATCAGAAGGTAATATTATATGTATTTCCTTGTCTACATTCTGAAAACATTTTACTTTGGAATAATCTTCAGATTTTATACTCCAGGGTATTATATGGGCAACCAGTAATCCAGTATTTTGCTTGTATATTAATATTAAAGGCAGGACATGTAGTTTAATTATGGACTATAAGCCCAAAATTTAGACCTGGGCATATGTTTTATTTGATATAACGAACGATTGTATTTTATATAACGATAGGCCCACTGCCATTTTCTGTAACATACACATGCAATTTGACCTCCTCGAATTTGTTACTTGTTTGAAATTGGAGTCGAAATTTAAAAAAAATACATAAATAAACTTACTGAGCTTTTTAATACACTTATTTTTAAATAAATAAAAAAAAAACAACACTGTGCTTGGCAAAATGTTTTTTATTTTATTTTTTTTAATGGTGTATTCAATATCGCTTTGTTAGTTCATAGTTAGTTGGAATTCGTACCGTATTTTTTGTCCTTTAATTGCTTATTCAGAAACATCGGTAGAATCGATCAATTGTGTTTTCAGTTCATGTTGTTATTATATCCGTATCCTGAATTGTAAACTGCTAAGCTGATAAGCGGTTAGTGGTCTACGGTATGGTAAATTGTTAATGTTAACTAATATTGGAAACACTACATGTGTCCTAACAAAGGTTACTAAAATGAAAGGGTCTACGTGCGTGTTTCTAAGAAATAATAATTCTTTAAAAAAAAAAACTGTTTAACATCTGTTAAACTGAAAGATGCACTGAACTGGAGTGGATCCTTCTGTATTACTCTAAAGCTGCATTCACACCGAAGCCGAATTCGATTCGTGTGGCTAACGAAACGAAAAAAAGAATATCGAATCAGCGGTGAAGAATAAAACGTTCTACGAACCGAATTCGGATTCGGTGAGAATCTACCTTAAAACTGCACCCTCTTGTAGGCCTACATTCAATTTCCTACTATTCTAAAAACCCCTTACTTTTTGTTGTTTTGATTATTCTTTCTATTTATACTGTGTTTATATTTTACTATAATTTATTTGATTAACAATTTACGTTTAATAGTTTTAATTATTAAAACAAAGGCTACTAAAGCAGTACTTTACTAAAAGAAATTTTAAGTATTTAACCGCTGCTTCTTTATAATAACATACTACAGTAGGGCCAATGCCGTAGTCAGCTATTGGAACAGTGGTCTCACACTATTTTTCTATTGGGTCCACAAAAAATGGGTCGAAATAATGTGATTAATATGTGTGTAATGTGTCTGATGAAATGTCCTGAAAAGGTAAACAAACACTGATTTATTTACAAATAACAACAATCCCATTAGAGCTTTCTATTAGATGAATGTAGAATGAATAGAGTAATATGTTTTGATATGAATTAGAATCCTATATGAAATAGGCCTACACGAAAAACAAAGAAAAAGAAATCACCATTGTTAAGGGTCACAATCGACAAGATTGGTTACGAAGTAACACATGCGGTAGGCCTATACACTACTGATATTCACTCATGGATTAAGGGGAGAAAAATCTGCTTTATTGCTCAAAAGGTATCAAAATGTAAAGTTGAATGAATTTTTTAAAATTTTTAGAGTGCTGTAGATGTTGTGATATAATGAAAAAAATAAGTGTCCCATTAATATTGGTTATTTTACCATTTGGCACACTCAGAAATTGTCCCCGTCCCCTTAATAAGGGTGTCCCTTAATAGGGGTTGGCTGTAGTGTTATAAGATATATTTCCCCTCGTTTCTCGGAAAAGTGTCTCCTTAATAGGGGTGTCCCGAAGGAGGTGTTCTGCTGTAGTCACAGGTCTAAAGCACACGTTGCTAAAAATGTAAAAATACATTTGAAATGTTCAGTCTGAGAGTTTCATTTCAGACCATCTATGTGTGCCATAGACATACAATTTTGAACCTCAGGCCCAGCCATTGAGATCATTGTGGTCTGGACCTTCTGTAAAAAAATTTAGTTTTGATTATAATCTAATCAACATTAATTACAAAATATCTGGTAGGCCTATTATAATTAATTATTTTCTTCCAGATTTTGTGCTATATATATGCCGCCATTCTTCACTATTCATTGCTTGTGGTGTTCGTCTGGATGATGATATTTAGCGCAGATTTATACGCCAAAGTATTCTACTCGTTCGCCAACCATCGTAAGAGGATGCAGTGGAGTAAATTTGTCGGCTGGGCGTTACCATTCTTTGTTGTCCTCATCACTGTAGCGGTCACTCGAAAACAATACGCTGACTTCAAAAAGTAAGTAAGCCTACTTAAACTAAAGTGTGTCATGTCTGTAGATACGTTGTAAGCTGACGAGCGCACCTAATAATAATTAGTAATACATACATTTTGTCTGAGTAATGTCAAAACTTCGGCGCTTAACAGATATTATCATAAATTATTATATAATGATATAGGCATATATATATATATATTGTATATATTTTACTATATATTTACTATTGTCGTTTAGTGATAAAAAGATAAAATACAATACAAAGCAATACAACACAATACATTTCTCATGTCATAAGACAAATATAGTTTAAACAAGCAACAGACAAAGTGCTGAAGTTGCCGCAATAAACTCATCTAACGTTTCCGATAACAGGTATTTCTCATTTTTAATTAAAATACAGTTGCTGGTTAAATACAAACAATGGAACAGTGTGGGCATTCATAGGCCCGGCCACTCTGGTGGTTTTAGTAAGTATTTAATAACACAGTAATTTAGTTTTATTTTTAATTATTGTCATTATTGTTTATTTATTTGTTTAAGTTTGATGTGTACCAAATAAATTCATTCAGTCAGTAGGCTTAATATTGGGCTCAAATTGCCTAAATGTTTTTTTTAAACTACATATGCCCTCAAGTCCGCATTCGTCATATGATTATTTCTCAGCATTAGCATTGCTTATCTCAATGCTCTGTAAGCACGCCAGAGTTACAGTATACGCGTCAGCGTACACGCTGTTAAGCTGACAGCGTCACCACAATAATTTTATTATAATATAATTCAACTGTTTTTTCTTAAGATCAATATAGCGTTAATTACAAGGGTGTTGATCGAAGTTTCCAAGAAGTCTCGGAGCGCGAACGTGACAGAAAAGCGCAAACTAGATGACCTGAAGTAAGTATCTCACCACACTGTTAAACACAAACCCAAACAAGTTGCGGGTGGGATTAGCAAAATGTAATCGTCACAATCGTCTTTCTGCTGGTTGTGTCAATATGATTCCTAAACAAGAGAATATTGAGTTTCTGTCATTGATCTTCAATCGTTAATATTTCAAAGCTATTTCTCACCATGTAACCTAATAGTACTATACATTATCAATATAATCAAGCTTTCAATTAGAGACAACATAATTATGCATGAATTTGCGTATACACAGGGCAACGCTACGATACATCGGTGGTTCCTGATATTTTACTAAAAGTTAATATCTATTGAGTTTTTAAGTTTTGGAATAAGAATGTCCTCAAAATGATATATAATGTAGGTTGTCATTAATTTGGTTTTTCCTAGAAGAAAGGCTAAGTCAAATTAACAATGATAATAATAATTTTGATGATGATGATGATGATGATGATGACGATGACGATGATGATAACGACGACTACAGTGATGATGATAATAATGATGATGATAAAAATAATTTCAAAAAAATAAGTAGGGCCTATATGTTTATGTAATAGAATTATTTTATTATTATTATTATTATTATTATTATTATTATTATTATTATTGATGTTGCTGTTATTGTAATGTTACTATAATTTAATAATAATTATTATTATGTGTGTGTGATAGAATCATTATTAACATATTATTATTGATATTGCTGTTATTGTTAATGTTACTATAATTTAATAATTCTTATTATTATGTGTGATAAATCATTATTAACATATCATTATTGATATTGCTGTTATTGTTATTGTTACTTTTACTTGCTATTGTTACCATCATTATTGTTAAAATTGTTATTAATAAACAAGACATCCAGCCTGAGTTAGAAAATGCCGGATTAAGCCGATTAATAATAGACCTACTAGAGTATAACATTATCTATGAACTGTAGCGAAAACGGATTCAAGTTTAAGCCAATGATTATTCAGGTACTTGATTCTTTTTCAACCTGCAGTGATATAATTACTAAGTCAAGGTCATCATAATACCTATACTGTTAAATACTATACCTCCATGTAAATACTATGTCTCCTAATACTGGCTGGAGACTATAATAATAGAAATAAAATAATAATCAAAAATAATGCTAAAGATACATGTCTCCTATTGCTGGAGACTATAATAATAGGAATAAAATAATAATCAAAAATAGATACACTCAACAATGATAGAAAACCGCAGTAGGCCCATTAAGTATACAACAATCATTAAAAATGTCAACGACTAATATTGCTTTATTCAGATATGTTGCTGTACGCGCCAGCTTACTACTTCCGGTGATCGGTGTTACCTGGGTATTTGGGTTCATGGTACTGTTTGATGGTGATCAGGTTGTGTTTATGTATATATTTGTCATTACCAACACTTTCCAGGGTGCCCTCATTTGGCTGACGCAATTTTTCTGGAGTCGAGAGGTAGGTTCATGAATGTATGTTTCAATCATGTTTTGCACCCTTAACGTTATTACGAAAATGCGGATATCGGCCTATTCGTACTTTATTTTAAAATCATCTGTTTTACACAGGCCCTCAATCTTTACATTAAGCTTTATTCACTATCAAAACTTATGTGAAAAATACATGTGATTTAGCCTTATGTGAGTGATATGACGCAGTATAGAAATATCTTTTCGTTCGGGCGTTCTTTAAAAGAGAAATATTGTTTTTAACGACATATGATATCGGTAACATTTTTTCCAGGGAATGAAGGAAAATAAGTGTTATTATAAATCATAATAAATAATAATAAAAAAAACCCCTATCGAACTCTTACAAACACGTCATAATCCAAGTAGGCCTACCCCCATTAAGTAAACCTATTCTTGCCGGCCGTACACCATTGATATTTAATATTATGTTTTAAGTTAATATCAGCCAAATCAAATCAAACCTAAATTTTGATTTTAACAGAAAATTCATTTCTTTATAAACAATATTTAGAAACAATTTACAAAAAAAAATGACCACATATCTTTATTCTCTTGTATTATTTTTTTATGTTCATTAGGTTAAAAATGCGTGGACAAGTATGAAGAAGAAGAGGCATTATTCTCTTAAAAAAGTAAACTCCAGAAAAGAAAAGGTAAATAACTGACAACATAAATTATTGTTGTTTCAAATGGCTTCACAATGACGTCACAGTGATTTTTTTTATAATAATACATTAAGTTTATTATTAACATTTTTTAGTGTTGTAAAATGTAAAAGTGAATATTAAGCCTACTCCCCCACCCCCAATCACCTTTCACACACACACACACTCACACACTGGATGTGGGAAAATTGCTGAGCAAAGAATTACTCTTATTTTGCCAGCTAACACCCCCTCACTTAATCATCGGGCAGCCCCAACCCCATCTTCTCCCATGTCAATACTTTTTGAAACGCCACTATTTCTGACATTTATATTTTTTTCCCACCAGGATAACAACAAAGAATTTAATGACATTGATGAGTGCGCTATTTTTCCTCCAAACTCAACTATTGACAATACATACAGTATGACGTCGAAAAAAAGCTTAACGGTTTCTTCAGATTTAACTTTTACCACTTTTGGTACCAAAAATTAGCGTACGTGCCATTCTTATCACCATGCCAGTTGTAATAAAGAAACATCAGAGATGCTTATGCACTGATGTGCGTTGACGGTTGGTGTAAGGACAGCTTTCGTGTGTAGAAGATTTAACAATGACTTTTGGCATTCGTGGCACTCTTTGCATGTGAAAAAAAAATTAATGTAAACAGAATATGTAATCTGCTTACGGTACATCCCACGCACGTTACGCATGCTTGAACAAATAGCGCTAGCATGCCCAGACGGCATGAGGAAGGTCGAAAAGCGCTATCTAATAATATAGGCCTAGTATTAGCAATTGGAGATCATGTATTTACACGTAGTTAGTGGAGGCTCCAGAAATTGACCGACAGAGGATCCGACCCAAGGTGCCGACTAGAGCCTCGGTCAGGGTCCGGAATAAAAATTTCTGGTGAGAGATTACAGGGAGAGATTTTTTTGGCTTAATATGGCCAAATTTATGCCACAATATTAGGGATTGGCAATCAAAAAGATTGAACAGAAAATTATCATTTTGGTCCGAAGACCTTGTCATGGTGTCAAACGATCGGGGTCCAGGCCTGTCCGACGGAAGGACAAATGCCCTCCCTGACCCCCGCTGACGCCACAACTGCGCATAGTGACGACGTGCACCTTACGACATGACTTAAACCATGTCCTAATCTAAACTCTCACCCATTTCCGGAGTGATCGATTTGTGCTTGAAAAAAAAAATACGGACAGCCATGATAGACTCGTTTAACATCCGTGTTCCTCGATCAAGTTGATCCGATTTTATAATTCCAATTAATGCCATTGTCCTTCGATTTATTAGCTGCGCCCCATGCAGTTGATTTACAGTATTATATTTTAATTGTATGTAATTTATTCCTTTATATTTAATACAAAATATTCTATGGTTACTTCCTAGTTTAGCAAAAAAAAAGTTACGGAATAAAAAAGAGCAATTACTACCTTATTAGCTTGTAAAAGTGTTTATTCAATATCATAAATCGTCTATTATATCATGTTGTAAAATTTTCAATTGTATTACCCCAAGGGGATGAGAGAGACGACGTTTTGTACATGTAAAGACTATCTGTTGTCAATTAAGTGACTAATTTATATATTCGAATAAAAATTATGTGCTGCGGCTTAGTGTAATTTTAATTACACTAAGCCACAACACATAATTTTTAGTTTCATTCAGTGTATGGGCCTATTGTGCATACTGTGCATTGAAGAGAGCAAATTATTAAAAATGTAATTTAAAAGAAAGCTTTGTTGTATATGTTAATTGTAAAATAATGATTAGAAATCATGTGTTGTCCAAACCACAATATTGTAATTATATGATAAAAGTATAATTTGCGTTGTTAAAATAAGGATGTGCTATTCAAGTTTCATGTATGTTATATAATAATGATGGATTGGATTTCGGGGCATTTAAACTATATGCCTTTAATGAACAAAATAAATTGGTTGATTAATTGATTAAGTTAATAATTTAATTAATTATTGATTGGTCCAATAATTAGTTGATTGATGTATTGATTGAATAATTCATTGACCCATTGACCATCATTGATTCATTGTTTGACTGATTGCTTTGTATATTCCAATCAATTTTTTTTAATTTCGTATTTTCCAATTAATTAATTTTGATTGTTTTGTATAAAGACTTCTGTCATTAAGTGTATATTTCAAACAAACTAATGCGCTGACAGTAGGTTTAATAATAGTTGCGTTCAGTGTACTATATTATGTGGAGTGTGGTTTAAAGAGAGCGGCTGACTAAACATGTTTAAATAATAATTATTATTCTTAACGAATTTAACTTTGCTGTCATTTTGTAATTTAAAAGTTGTACCTGTTAATTGTAAATAATGATTAGAAATCATATGTGTTGTTCTTGAGATTAAAATATTATTGTAATATATATATATA